ATCGAAAAGAGTATTATTGTTTTCTAAAATCAGTTTTATCAACATTAGTGTAAACATCAACATCATCAAGAAAATAATATGATAATGAAGTATTTGTAAGCGCTAAACGATCAGAATATTTGTTTACTCTTTTCATTAATAATTTGTTGTTTAATTTGACAACAATATACGCAGACATCACACCCACTATGTAAGGTCCTATCCTGGTCCATGGTGGATAGTATATTACGTCCATTAAATTTATTTGCTTATCGATTCTGTAATACAATCCAACGTTAAATTATTAATCAATTACGTTGTTCATTAAAGAATACTTTTACGAAATTATCTATCTATATAAATTCGCCCGTAAATATTTATCTTCAAATAAAATAAAGACCATTTCTGCAGTCATTTACGAAAATATTTGCACACTTGCAATGAAATATATTATTAATTATARTAGGTATAGTATAGAATAATTATCAGCATATTATTATAACTGGATGTGTGTACGAATCTCTAGATTATGAAGATAAAGTTTAAAGCGTTCCGAATATATGTTTAATTGTTATGCTTAAATGATGACAGTTATAATACTCAAAGTATGGATTTTTATATAACTGAGGGTTACAGAAAAGTTAGTAAAGAGTATGCACAATTGTTTACAAGATGTTACTCGTGTCAAAGTTAGTCATATTAAATATTAAAAACTTCAAAAATATCTGTTCAGATACTTTATGCAACAATCCAAGCCATCTTTACGTTAGTAAGTAATATATCCAAATTATTGAATATATATTGTTCGAATTGCCTAAAAATTTTCATGAGTAATAAAAAAAGTTAAACCTTCAATCATTGTTAATATTATATTTATATGTGTTGTGTAATAAAGTTATTATAATAAATAATATATTTCATAGCAAGTGTTCCAATGATTTCCTTAGTCACAGTAGTTAATGGAATAATATGGTCAACTAATGCGTAAGTCGCTATTAAAAAAGAGTTAGTGTCTTTAATACGCAAAGAAAGGATATGTATTACTACAAAAAGTTCGTACAAATCCCGATTTTTTAGAACATTTAATTAAATGTATTTTAAGTCTATAAAATGTCAAGCGAGTTTCGACCAATCTAAAAAATATGCTTAAGTTGACTGCGTCTAGAGTCGGATTATAGGTTACTCGAGTTTTCACAGCCAGTTTAATTAACAATAGTTTAAGATTCCACACTTCAGCATAAAACACAATTAACTAAAACCTATTTTACAGATTAAACGAAACCATTTTTGYATTCTGTAAAATAACAAAGCAATGTGTGARATCCTTCTCATTAMGTACAATATCCGTTTTAGGTAAACCTTCTATATAATGCTCGTAAAGTATACATTACCATATACATGAATAATTATTAATATTGATATTTACGTAGGAATAAAATTATAAATGTATGATATGTAGCCAGTAAGAATTATTGACGAGGTAAACAATATACCCAACAAACTAGCTGCTATTTTGAAGTACCTGAAATGCAATAATGCTTGATTAATTAAACTCTTTTTTAAGTTTTTTAATTTCTGCTGAATATAGATTTTTTAAGTAAAAACAATGTTTTATAAAAATATGAGTTTACTTACGTTGAAGATAAAAACAACAGAAAATTTATTATGAGGAAGTACTGCATATCGTTCGCCAAGTACCAACTCCAACTCATACACTGCAAGGATCGATGTCGATAATTAATATTATATCTATTATGCATTAAGAATACGAGAATTATAAAAATTGCTGTTATCGTAAGTCCATACCRAATCTTGTAGACTAAAAAGGTTGTGAATATAAAGGATATTTCTCCACCAATATTTTTGACAATTTTCGTGGTTACGTTCCGTTATGGGAAAGAGGGACGTTTTACTGTACCACGTTGCACTTATCTGCACTAATCCGATTAATACCATGAATGTAGGTGTCAATCTAAAATAGCAGAAGTAGCGAAAAAAAAGTAAGATATTCTAATTAATTATATTTCTTATTTTGAACCAATTTATGTAAGAAAACCATAAAGTTTTCTAGCACTTTTCTAGATTGACTAAAATTTTACAAGAAATTTGTGTTTGTGAAGTTTCTAATTTTAATTGATAGGTACAATTAAAATTTATTGAGATTTTTTTTCCCTATCTTCATACTATAAATATTCCTAGCAAAAAAGAATTTTCTAGGTTGATTTATACTTTCA